ACTGCAACTACCCCTTTTCTGAGACGGGTGTACGGGACTTAAAACAAGTTATCCTAAGAGCGAACAGAGACGCAGCATGTTGCTGAGTTCCTTTCAAAGGGAAGAACCTGCTCTGCTTAATCCTTCTGTCTGCCACTAGAAGAGTACAGCAATAAAGCGTGACAAAAGTAATAATACCGGCAACGACGCTGTATCCGCCGATATCAGACGTGTACCAGGAGCTACGAGAACCAGGCTCCTTTCACCGACAATTCTGCAGGGATGAACACATGTCTTAATTCCCCTAAAACCTTCTCTACCGTCTCCCAGCCCCTCTGAAACCATTTGAAACTCTGCCTTCTTATATAAGTCCGAAGGAACTGTTGCATCCAAGCAGGAAGACGGTAGATACTGCTGTCCCCCACGTGAGACCATCTGATGTCTCCCTCAGGTAGGTGGGAGAGCTGTGTGTTCGTGTCTCCTGTTCACGAGAGAGAGCGCTTTGGCCTCGTTTCTTTGTTTTTTAAGGTTGGTGGGGGACTACCTCTATAAAGTACAGCAAACGTAAATAGTTTGAAAGAAGCAAAATAGTACACGTTAAATAAAACTGACGTATAAATTGCCAATGTAAACCTGAGAGTCATAACAATTCTTCATAAAGAAATGTAAGATCACATATAATAAACATCAAATCTGAAAGGATTTTCACAAGTACAGATTTCACAGCCGAGCCTCCAGCACGTACTTTTTCCATTCTGGTTTTAATCCAGGAATAAATTACAGCCGTACGGCATTTCACGTTTGTCTTTCATTAATTTGCCAATCAAGTATGTTCACTTCACAGGTAAAAAATGGGTTTGGTAATAGCTAGTGCTGCAAACTCATCTCGAGTCTACAATTCAAGTTACTGCTGGATTTTTGAGCAGCATGTATGTTCTCAGAAAGGTTGGGCTTTCAGTAATACCCATTTAACTTCCCTGACCTCAGATTGCAATGTGACACTATAAATGGAGCTTCAGAAGTGGTTCTGTGGACGACAGTGAAGGAGTAAAATAGTGCAAAATACTGCAATCAAATTCCTGCGCTGGGAGCTATTGTTGCTCTGGGAAGAAATGATGGTAAGAAGGTGAGTGCACAGATACGACTGAATATACACGGGGAGCCAATTTGCCTCATAAGAAAGGGTTATGTTTGTGCAAGATTTGGCTGGGACCAGTGCCCAGGAAAACCAACCGAAAAGGCTTGAATCAAATTCAGGGTGATGGGTTTCGGGGTTAATAGATTGGATCTATAATTACTTTTCAGAATCAAACTGTATATTGAAATGCAGATGGCAATAAAAGTCAGTTGTTATAATAACGCAAACGCTGTGTAACAATACCAGGTTCAGCACAAACACTTGGGATTTTTGGAGCATAGGATTAAAAATAAACGCAGTTAAACCTTAGCTAATGTACTATAAAGGCAGACGATTATCCAGGTGTATCCATGAATAAGCCTATGCTTATAAAAATGTTATAGGAAGGTTAACAGTTATGACTGCTCCATAAGTGATGTGTACATGCCTACATAAGAATACTGAATGTGCAAGGGGAATTCCAAGCGCAATGTTTTCCAAAAATTTGCTCTACAAGAATACTGAAGTTTCTTTCTTCTATCAAACAAATCCATTTGTTAGCAATTTTTTTAGGCTTGGGAGCATTTTTTTTTTTTTGGGGGGGGAGGGGGTAGCATTAATCTCCATTACTCTGTCTCTGTTGGCAATGTCTTGAGAGAGTTTGAATTGATCTTAGTAGCTGCTGCAGACTAAATTGCAGCTACCCCTAAGATGACTTTTTTAATTCTCACAATATGTTACCAAGATCCTATTTAAAAAAAAAAAAAGACAAGTGAGATTGTTTTCCATTTCTGAAATTCTCTAAAGCGCTCATTAATACCTCAAAATATAAATAAAACTGATTACGTGATAAAGCTGATTTTGGTCTTTCTTGGGGAAAACGTACATTGATAGCGTTTCAGTGAGTAAATGGGCCCCAGGCCAGAATGTCACTAAGCTGCTTTATCAACAAATGTAGTAGCGGCTAATTGATCTTTGATATGTGTGTGCATATATTTTATGTATGTTTGTTTATCTATTTATTTAAATCTTACTATTCCATAAAGCTCTCCTTAGAGCAAAACTTTTTAGGGCAGTTAGGTGTCTGGAGGTCTAGCCTAAGTAACAGCGCTAACATACGTGGAGAAATGAATTTCTTCTCACAGTCACTCCTAAGTTTTCTTTTAGAGGTGGCATGTTGTAGGTTTTAGCAACTAATCCCTAAAGTGGGAAAGAAATCCTACTGTTCTAACAGACTGACTTGTTCACATAGGATATGTGGGGGCGAGTGAAATAAAGCTGGAACAGAATCCAGTTCAGTGAGCTCCCTTCTGAGGGTGGAATTAAATCAGATGCTTTCTCTTCCCTGTAGTCTGCTCCTGGGCTATGTCTGTTTCAGCTGATAGACCTATACCTTTACAGCATCTTTTCTTGAGATTATTGCCAGAGGATTCGGGACCAGCTGGATAAAAGACTGTGCCCAAAGGCAACATTTCACGGCTTACCCTCAGCCTTGCTTGCAGGGCAGCTAGCTTTGGTTGCTGCTTTTCACTTCTATCTATTGAGAAGAAACTATGAAGAGAGTTACTAGTAAGGTTATCTTGATTTAGATACCCTTTTATACACCAGATACAATCCATAGACTGAGCATCAATGTCATTCAGATGTCTCAGCGAGCTGAGGAGTGAAAACATCCAAGAATCCACTTGAGACGTTTTCCTTTTTTCCTTGTCTAGTTTTTGAAATTTTTTTCTAGTCTAGGTTTGAAGCCTTGCATGCAATTCCTAGCAGTCCACAGCTGATGGTTTTGGACTTGCACCTGAGGATAAAATGTCTTAAGACCAATGAATTAGTCTTAAGACTAATGAATGAGAGAGGAAGTTTAGGCATAACCAGCTCTGCAATGCTATCGCGTCCCTTCTGATCCCTGCAGAAGTACCACCTGTCCCTTCGCTCCTGCACTTTGTGGCTGTAGGCGACAAAATTGTTGGGTTCTGTCTGGCCAGAATTACTTTCAGAAAAGTAAAGCAATATTATTTTGGTTTAAAAGTATTACTAATGATAGTCCCTTGTTTCTGCACCTCCTTCCTCAAAGGATCTCAAATTGCTTTAAAAAGGTGATTAAAGGCTGTAGAACTATTGAGGGGGAAAAAATGGGAGATTGCATTTTATTGCCATGCAAAATTTTAATTACAAAATTTTCTTTCACATTTCTGAAGCTATTCCAGCCTTGGCCTCTCCTATTCCTTTCAAACATATTCAGTGTGACACTGGCGTACTATTCCTATCAACTGCATTATAAAATATAACAAGCTAACTAGACATTCCTGATATCCAACCAAACTTGTTAAATTCTAGATTTCATTACTTCAGTGAATACAGATGCAGGATTATTGTTATTAACCACTAGATGCCACAGTTGCTTGTATAAATGCATTTGTGTGTGTGAATTAAAAAATCTGCTGAAAGATTTGTTTTTTAAGGACAGAACTTCCTGATAGCATTTCAAATTACTGGTACAACATACTGAACTAAAAACTTAAGTGCAGCTACAGCCGGACAATTTTTTTTTACTTCCTTTATATGAACACTCTTGATAATATACACCACCTTAAAGTTCACCTTCATGGTGGAAGTGTGTAAAGATCTTCACGATCATCTCTTTCAAGTCTGTCTGCTCATTTTGTGACACAAATAAGCTACCAGAGCGGGGCAGTCAGCGCAGCTGCCACCGAGTGAAGAGAGAGTCATTTTGGTGAAATTGGTTAGGAAGAGTCAGATGCTACGCCTGCGCATCCCCCTGCCAGCAAGTTGTCTGAAAACGAAGGAGAGCAGGATTAGATGATGATGGGGTCCCGTAGGTGTAAACGAGCCCTCGCTGCTGGAGAGGCTGCCTATGACTCATGGGAACGGAGCAAGATTGTGTGTAGGAAAGGAAAGGAGCGCGGAGATAGTATTTTTAAGTGGCAAATTGGTACTAAAAGCTGAGACGCTCAACATAGCAATAATGCCATGGTGAAGCCCTGTCAAAGGACAGCTATACCTAAGGTAGACAACTCCCGCAGCCTTTTTGAGCCAGCAAATCAATTCACGTGCTTAGTCAAGTCCAGCTACTCCAGTTGCCATTTAACAGCTTTTTTTTGTGTGTGTGTTCTCTACTGGGATCTGCCACCTCGTTGCTCATGACAAGACTTGGACAGTATTTACGTGCTTGGGCGTATTGCTAAGTTTATTGTTTTTAGTGGTGACAGCTGTGAGTGAATGCAAAAAAATTATTTAGTAGTTGACCTCTCGATAGCTAAAGACTGCGCAGAGTAGGCTTTTTTCTACCCCTCTTTTAGATGGGCAAAGCAGTTCTTGTAGTTTTGGAAAAAAAAAGCTTGAAACTTTCACAGTAAAGGTAAAGTTTCTGCACTGATTTTTCTGCCAAGTACGGAAGTGGAAAGGAAGCTCCGTTCCTCTGGTCGAGGATAATTTTAGAGACTATGTCTCCAAAAAAGAAGTTTGTCTCTCCCTACTCTTCCATCGTGCTTGCCAGCATCATGCTGTGCCAGGTTCCCTACTCCTCCTCCTCTTACCTTGGCATATATATGTCTTAACGTTTATTAAAGAGACGTTAAGAGCCAGGCAGCCCCATAAACTTTGAGAGCGACAAAAGCAGGTGATTTCGCTGACAAACGATTAAACATACGCTACTGGAGCTGCAGTCACTCGGATTTATTTCAGTGAAACGATAACGGGATGCTAAGGGCAACGCGCCTTTAGCGTCTGGGCCGGAGCTGAGCCTCCTGCCCTGTTAAATTAGGGATGCGTATGAATGCAGGGGATGGGAGGTGTGGGGGGCTAACGCCACCTGTGCGGGCGCAGTGCTGCGCGCCTTTAGCGTCTGGGCCGGAGCTGAGCCTCCTGCCCTGTTAAATTAGGGATGCGTATGAATGCAGGGGATGGGAGGTGTGGGGGGCTAACGCCACCTGTGCGGGCGCAGTGCTGCGGCGAGGGGCCTGGAGGTTCGC